GAGGGCGGAATTAATGTCCCAACTAATGACTTTTTTAATATCCACATTAAAGTTTTTTATCTCAAATGGCGCTTGGATCATGAACGATGGTAACTCGGGGGACAACTGGAGACGCTATTCTCGCACTCTGCTTAAAGGCGTTTAAAAAGAAGTCGCCAATATGACACTCTTTTGCAAAACCAAAATCCATTATTGTCATTATGATACGCTTCTTGAAAAAAAATATTTGAACATACATACTTTAATAAATTTACTTAGACCTACATATATTAGAAATATATCTGTATAATTTACGGGCCTGTATCATTCGACAGTTTGCAACGTCTTCCTCTTTTAAATTTCTTTATACTTATTTAAGAAGTGGATGGAAGAATGACTCAATGAACAAATTAATAAATACTTGCCTTCTTGACTGACACGCACTTTTTCACTTGTTATTGCAAAATACGTGTGGCATATTATAAGCCTACAAGAACGCTGGTAGCGGAAAGTTTTATAATAAAATAAAGGTGTTAAGCCCTCTGGTCTCAATTAATTGTAGTATCGATTATTTGTAAACTGCATGGGTATCGTTTGCTATCATTTCAGAAACAAAAAAAGGTATGAAGCTCAAAATTCAATTTTGATGTAAGTATTCACTAATATTTCACTTGCCCTAGAAATTCCAAAGCAACTTGAACACTACAATTACACAATTGCCACTGACAGCCTGGTTGTGGCCAATCATGGGAAACACCATTAATGAAGCTAATTTACAAAACGACATCGGAAACTACTTGATAGCTGTCGGTACACTGTTCCATAATTTCCCTTTTCATCATATTTATGTGCTGAGGAAGCAACAATAACCACAGCCAGATACTGTTATCATATCAAATGCACTGCGGCGTGGTGACTGGGCATTATGTTAGCTTAAAGATGGTAGGTGTCACATAAATTAAGAACAGTGAATCGTGCCTGCATAATACAATATTGAAATTACAACAACTCTATAAATCGCTGATTGTTGCATACATCAGATAATCTTTGTATATAAAATGGTTAAAGTTGTATGGCTGTAGAAACACAGCCAATATATGCCTACACACATTCATACACCAATTCTGGGCAGCTTACATTCTTCTTAAAGTTTGAATACGAATAAAGTTGTCCTGGAAAACAGGACTGGAACAGGCCTAAGGGCATAGGATTTAATTTAAGTTACGACCCGTACTGCATTAAGTTATTGCGAATTAACCCCGCAGCGTCGTGCACGTCGTGACGATCTAAATCGCGATGATACGCGTCGAGTTGTCAAATCGCTCCAAAGATACTACAAATTCTTTCCATCTCCATTATCTTAATTTGCTAGAATGTGACGATAATATTAAAAATGATCCTGCGGAGATGAGTTATGTGGATCCGATGGCTGTAACAAAATCTTATAATCCATAAAAAGAGCTCGATAGATAATGACTGTTCAGAAAAAAAGTAAAGATGCACTAGTGTTCTTTCAAAACGACTTTCATATTACGTCCATTAATTAATGTACCAAAATTCAAAATAGTACAGGTTCACTCGTAAGTAAGAAACTTAGATAACAGCAAAATAAAATGTAAGTCCCCAACCCCAATGTGCACCACACCACACAGGTAGCCTACATCCGTGCGCCTGTCTGTTCCACGGGAATCGCTAATGGACATTTAACTTCGATGACATTCCGGAATCGGCTGCTAACGAGAAAGTAAACAGCAGCTGGCAAAAGGGGGAACACACAACTGTGCCGTGGGCGTGTTCAGATTAATGGGTTTATATATTCATTTATTTTTATGTTCCTTAGCATATTGTTTTATTAATGTTGAACTAATTTCCCGAAAGAAAATATTAAAAATGGCATCTACAAGGAATAAACATAGTTCAGTTTTCATCATACACAAAATATCTCCACCTGCAACTCTACATTTGTACATACACTCAAAAACTGTATCATACTGAGTCATCATATTTACAACGGTTTGTTATTCCAAATTTGGTCAGACTTCAGGGTTTTTCCAGGGTTAGTCCAGAGTTTGAAACAAGCTAAAGACATAATTTTCAATGGGCAAAAATACAAACCCAACCGTGCTTAAAGCTAAACACTGATTTCGTCCAGCCGTCTTGCCGGTATTATTGATTGTAGGAAATTAGAAGCAAGACGATGAGGCGACCTACAGTTGTACATCGACATGTATTTTCATGAAAATCTGTCAATTAATTCCAGTAATATTACAAGGGCCAGACAGACGAACATAACATAAGCTCAACTCATAAATCAGAAAAATATGCTAATAGACTAACAACTGTCATCTGAAAAAGACATTAAACCACAGACATCACACTCCGTTCTGCAAATGACTAACCAGCGCTTTCTCCTACTGTCAGCTAAAATTAGAAGACTGTTAACGCTGATCAGGTTTCAACATAATTTCGATCCATAAACGACCTTGCACACTGGCCTGTGTGTTTTCGGAGGCGTGATGAGGCACAGGCTATGTCATGCCATCATCACGTCAAATAATTAACGGTACGCCGTTCCCACGGCGGTCGGTCCTGATGGCTTGTTACAGGGGCGCGTGTGGCAGGGGTGAGGAGCAGGGCGACCAAACGATGAGTCAACTACCGGTGTTAAAACACGAAGGTACAAGATGTATTCGGATTGTGAAACTGTAGTACGCATTCAGAACCAACGTGCATTCATCGACGGGTTTGGCGAGAAAGACAGGCCGACGTCGCCTAAAATGTGTATTTTTTACCGATAGCCTTCATTTCGCTGTTGTGCCCTCCGAGGGAAGACAACTAGATTGCAGACGTTTTAGAACAACTGCGCCCAAGAAAGAAAGAGGAAGTCACAAGAAGAAGTGCAGAAATACATAATTAATTGGTTTCGCCTAATACTCTTAGGATTAAATCAAGTTAGATAAGATGTGGGCGAAATAGTCCTTGATGTAATCCATGGATTATATTACAATGGATCTAAGAGAAATAGATTATGAAGTTCGGAAGTGGTTTTAAGAGACAAGTGTTTGTGTCCAGTGGTGTACGTTCGGAATCCATACAACATAAAATCTCTCTTTCAGCTTAGTAAGCTAAGTATCTGCTACGCAAGGAAGCCCCAGGATATGGATTTATTTAGTTTCTTATTTTAAGAAAAATTGACTTGTTACGGGTATTACAAAACAAAGACGTATAGGTCTATAAAACAACTCAATCAGCCGCCAGGTTCTTACCCCGGTGACCCGTGGTCCCTGTATCATTCTACCGAATGACCATAACCATTTATATATTTTCTGGTGGATGGACAATGGGCCGGTTCGCGACGGCAGATCTATTGAGATATAGTTTCACCCCACCAGAACAATGAAACAAGACCATTTAAATTAATCGCCAAGAATATACGTAAAATATCCCCATGAACATTTCCTAAGACTGTCAACAAATAATTACTGGATTAAATAGGCCTACAGTATCTAGGAAAGACAACATGAAACCGTTTATAAGGCTTTTTTTAAATGCTAAAACAAACAAAAAAATTATTGGTCTAGTTGTCCCACCAAGTCTCCCAAGAACACAAAAGTACAATAAAATGGACTTATTATTATAAATTTATACAATATAAAAAATTTCCACAGATAAATGCCCATAGCAATTCAGGAATCCTTTGTAAAATGTTAGATGGGACAACAGAAGCTAAATACCTCCGAAACCAGCCAGCCACCGGCACGTGTCGAGAAGTATGAGCTATTGGGTCCAGCCTAAGTTGCGTTGGAGAAACTGCATGACTACATACACACATACTACACAATAATAAGTTGTATCAGGTCCAAATGCAGTGATCAAGCTACTGGCACTCTCGTCAACACAAACACCAATAATTTTGGAACTTCATATGATTAAAATCATTGCTATAAATAAAATCTAAAGCGGCAAATAATTGGAATCTAACAGCCAATGACTGCGTTTCTAATAAGTCTAATAAGTTGAGACTTTGTAGTTCAAGTCAAGTCTTCTGGACACAACATTAACAAGATTATCTGGCTAACTTTATTAACAGAATTGGAATCATCAGCTCACCTATGTGTACGCTGTGCAGTAATGAAGAAGCACAAGACACATATTCTGTTACAAAGAGCTCTGACAATAGAGTTATGCTTAAATTTCACAAGCAAAACGAAGCACAAAACACGCCCTTAATTTCAAACGTCCGCCATTAAGACAAGTCCAACACCAGAGAGTCTCGTTTGCCATACATTCAAACTTAACAGATGGCACGTGTTTAGCCAAGGCGTGCTCTGAAATGCAAAAACCATCTTTACTGATTCTTTACTCATAATAACCTCTCTCATACATAAGGCCGTATAATAATAAAAGAACGGACGAAAAAGAAAATGGGAAACGGTAACAACTTCTCAATATTGTCAAAGACACAGAATCTAGATTTTCAGCGATACTCTATGCACCCGGTAGATGTCAGTGTGTCTTCAATCGCATAGCCATCTACTGGCATTCATATGTATTATCTACGCCATCTCTTTAACAAATGTGTGTACTATTAGGATCTTTTGACATCGTAATGTCGTCTGCTAAAACTGGCGCGAATACATCAATACTTGAACCTTTCGTCCTAATGGGCAGACCCAATGGAAACATTTTCTCTGAAAATGTAAACTATGCTTATATATTTTTGTATAGTATGAAACCTGACTGGGTTCACAATGTGACCTATTCTGTCGGCGCCAGCGATCTACTGTGCGCATTTGCGCAACGTTGTCAAATGTAGTAATTGGTTAAATTTCACTGCTCATATATGTAAGGATTTTGCAATTAATTTCTATTTAAGGTACTATAAAAGCAGTAAATCCATATTGAAATTATTCATATCGCAATAAATTATCAGAACAATAAAACCATAGGAATTTACGTAAACATGGCAACAACAGTACTCATATCCCCTCTTATTCTTCATGAATCACTACCAGAGAAATGGTCATTATGGCAGGCATGGCTGACCGTGATAAGAAGATTGTGATTGAATTTTGTCATTTGTTAGAGAAATCAAAACAGCTATTTAATGGCCTTAGGTGAGTGGAAAAATCCATTACATATTGGTGGCAAATGGTGTGAAATTCTCCTCATGCTCATTGCAGACTGAATGATGCTTAGTTGTTCGTACTCGCGAACGAATTTGGAAAAATAATTGTAGTGTTTCTTTGTATGTGCTACATGTTGTTTTTTATAATTACTGGCTTGTGGAATATGCAGGTAGCTACGGTGTGTTCATTGTCGTAATTTGGGTTGCATCTTGTGCCTATAGGTTTGGTGAGAGGAGTCGTTTGCATGGACTATCTGGCGGGATGAAAAGTTAATTTTATTTCATTCAACCCACATTTAAGTGTCTTATTTTCAAGTTGACGAAAATATGATATGGTAAACTGAATGAAATATTAATACATGTCAGTAAAATTTTCATGGGTCAGTTACCTCCCATAGATTTAGCACATGCCCCACCCCCGCCCACATATTTTGTATTGGGAGATGTGTACGTGCGAAAACTACATTAAAAATAAAATTCAATGCATGCAGGTGTTTTACTTAATCTATTAGCATCAGTGTGGGTCCTAATCTTACCTTCTTGATAATCAACAATTTAAATTAACGATATTACTAATACTCACATGAGGCCCATATTCAAATTTCCAGGGACTTGCCCCAGTACGGGCACAAGCAGTGGCAGGCATATTTTGGAAGAACCTTTGACATTTATACAAAACTATGGAAATTTCAGCAGCAGCACAGGTAATTTAGTAGTGTTAGGAACCATACTGATATTGTAAATAAAAGATCTAAAAATTGGTGAATTGGATGTAGAGTGGATTATGATTTTCTGCACTCATTTTCAGACAAGTTTTGGACACAAAATATGGATTGAAGAGGTGGCAGATTGGAGAAATTGCATCTAAAATCGGACAACTGTATTACCATTACTAGTAAGTGCAGTGGCTAATTGTGTTCAGGAAGTCAGTTTTGCCATGGGTGGGAAGTTTAATTACATAAGCTTGCTGCAGAAGAAACCTATGCCTTATGTTATGACCTATCTGACATTTAGAAAGGTTTTTACAACAACATTGCAACATAATTTATAAACTTACATATACTGTTTTGCAATTTACTTAAGTTCTAGTCACATGGGTAACCCTTTACCTTTGAATTATCTGTATTTTGAATTATGCTGCAGCAGGCAGTTGTTTTAGTTTCTGAGCTAACAAATTTATTCTTTTCAGCCTTCGTACCAGTGAAACCAACTATCTGAATGAAGCATATTCATTCTATGCTGCAATTCGAGGGAGAGCGTATTACTCTAGAGCATCCAAGGAAGACAGGTGAGGGAACTTGTTATAACAAGACATCCTGAAAAAAGCTCATGATTCTAACTTCCTTTAAAAGTTTTCATATAGCATATGAGACTCTAAATTCATACAGTAGAACAAGATCATGCTAATTGATGTTGCTCATCTGGTCAACAAATTATTATAATATTACAATAAAGCACCTTGTTTCAAACCAATAAAGTGCTTCAAACAGTGAAAAACTATTAAAGTCTGAAATTTGTTATATGTTCTTGTGCATGTGTCCTTTATTATACATATTATACGTTCTGAATTGTCTGTGGTTGCTGGGTTATTGAAATCCAAGCCCCCCCCCCTCCTCCTGGTTTTGTTAATTACTGAGTTGTAATCAATTCTAAAGGATTCTAATGATGGTAGAAGTATTACTACTAGGTTTCTAGTAATCTAGTATACTGAAGATACATTTTAGAAACTGGGTGCATTTTGAACCTCTGGAGAAAAGGTAGGAGTACCAATTCACTTGGGTCTGTTAGAAAGAGCTAATCTCAGTCATTGGACAACTGTTGACATCCAGCTAAAGCTATATAAATCACTGAAATTATGTTTTTTCTACAGGAAGTAATAAAAAAATATACAATAAGAATTGAGTGAATACCCACAAACACCTAAATCTAAGACAGAAAATAAATGAAAGGTGTGGTATTTTCTCTTGAGGATGAAAATTTATCAAATTACCAGAATATTGTGTCATATCAGAATATTGTATGATGGACAAAGTCCAGAAATATAGTAATACATTAATTTTTTAGACAAATTTATGATATTTAGTAGATGTTCATAAGCATCATGATCATGTTATTTTCAGGATACCAGATGACTGATAAGTCCAGAAATCCAGTAATACATTATTTTTTTTATAAAAACTTATGATATTCAGTTGTTATTCATGTGCACCTTTTAAGTTTTGTAATATTTTTATTCATCTTCAGGTCAGATCTGATGGTGAAGAAGCTACGATACTACGCAAGGTTCATTGTTGTATGCTTGTTGCTGAAGAAAATGAAACTTGTTAGAGATCTAGTTATGGTATGTAGTGTTCAAACTTCTGCTTCAGTCTTGCTTTGAATGGGTTGTCCTTGTATGTTGATATATTGACTTACTTCCTTAGATTCCTTTTTCATCTCAAGCCCCAGCCAGTTTGTAGAAAAGTATACTATTTGTCAAATGCAATAATTCTAGACTAATTCATTTTCCAGCAAGAAAGAAATGTTGGTATCAGTATGGCTAGTGTCATTGAGATTGAGACTGGATTCTCGTGATAAACAAGTATTCTGCATTGCTGACATTCCAGCCTGCTTAATTATCCCTCTTAACAACCATAAATGTATGAAGATGGCTGTCTTCTTGGTTGAGAGTATATTTTCGTATCACATCTTGCCTTCATTAATTATGGATTGCAGGAATTAGATAAACAAATAGTGGATTATACAAGCACATATGAACCTGACGATCAGTTAGAATGGTCACTTGTCCTTGAAGAGATCAAATCCTTCATTAAGGCTGATGGAATAGTCAGTGTCCTTCATGCAGACTCCAATACAATAGTCCTGTCACACAGGTAAGTTCACTGATCACTTTCTGTTAGCTTTAAACCCTCTTGCCTGGATTATTTATTGCTGTCATTAGAGCTAATTGGAATAAATGAGAAACATTGTTTTAAAAAGTTTCAAGAGAGAAGCATATAGTATTGAAATTCTGCTTAGTCACTGAGTCATGCTGTAACAGAAAAATGCCTTTTTTTAATAAACTAACACATATTCTGTTTTGTTGCCTGTTTTCAGTACCATCCATTTATCATATCTTCCTTCATTTCAGCAAAGTGTTCTCATATTCATACACTTTCAAAAGCAAGATTACCAACCAACCAACAATGCAACAAAGCACCGACATTTTAGTCTAGAAATAGAAGACTTACTTTGCACCCGTTAATTTCAAGTAAACATAACTGTATATTTAATAGCTTATACAGAATGCTAGTTACTTATGTTTTTTGTTTTTTTAAAAAAGCACTGAAATGATCTAAGTAATGGAAAGAATTGCACATATGGCACTTGTTTACAGGCTCAGCCCACTGACAACACCTCCAGTAGAGAAATCTCCTATGATGAACTTGACGTTACAAGAAATATTGATAATAGGCAGTTGCAATGATCAGGTAATATGTGACAAGGATGTCACATGCATGCCATTTTGAACTGGCTAATCTGTGGTTACAATTCTTGTACATTCAGTAATTAAAGCTGATGGTGATGTTTAGGAAAAAAGTGAAATAAAACTGAAAAACAAGGACTCCATTTTTGGATAGACAAAATATAATATGAAATTATATATATATATATATATATATATATATATCCATACTGCTGAAAGACTGAGTTTTTGTTTTGGGGTGCAGCACTATTTTTCCTATAGACCTTCAGAGCAACACATTTTAATGTTTCTTTCCCACAGAGGTAATCCACACACTAAAAGTTATCATGATTTGTTGAGCCTTGTGTTCTTAGTTATCATCCAAAAATTAAGATAAGGAGACTGTTGCTTCTTATGAAAACTATTAAATCTGATTATGATCAATATTTCTCTAGGTAATGGATACATTCATTGTATAGCAGTTTTATTGTTTATTACACATCAAACTTGGAGGTGGCCATTTAAACATATTTTCTCACTTCATAATACCATTTCTTGTTCCACTAATATTGTGGCATACTGCATGTTAGTCTTTATAAAGCAGAATTCATTCCATCTCTTTAGACGTTTTTCTGAGATCTCATTTAGACTTGATATTGCAGTTTTCTCCGGCACAGTGATTTATCCTGTCACAGCTGATTCTTGAATAACTTCCTTGTAGCTTTTTCAGTAATATTGCATAAACTCTGTTACTGGTTATATTCATATACCTGTCATATTTTCATTTCTTTTATAGTTCAGCAAAGTGTAATCTGGTGTCTCTGTCATGAAATACATTTTAGCTGATATTTATGACCCATATGATAATGTTGGCCCAACAGTGTTTCTCCTTGTGTTGACATCCAGTAAATTGATCAACTATCTGTTCTTCCAATCTAACACAGGTAAAATTTAGTGAATTGACAATGGACATGTTCCGAATGCTCCAAACTCTTGAGAGAGAGCCACAGGATGATTTCAACCACATCTATGATGCTTCACCTGCACCAGGTCGAGTGCCTTTGGTGAGTACTGTTACAGTATTGCTTCATCAGAAATGGCAGACTGAAAGGTCTACATGTTCAAATCTGAAATTCAAATTCATATCTACATCATGTCATATCCTCATTTTATGACTGATCCTTCCAACTTCTTAGCCTTTTCACTGTGTTGCTAATAAATGCTGTCAAGGATCCTCCATTTATTTTTAATGGTTTTCATTGTTCATCTGGGTTGTGACACCTTGTGAAGTAACACATTTCAAATGTTTTGAAAAGATGCAGAAACTTTTGCATAAGTTTAAAAAAATGTAGGGTCTAGAGTAAATACAATTCTCATAATAATATCACAAAGTCTGAATCAATTCTTCTTAGATGTGATAAGAGAGAATTATTTGGATGAAGTAAAGTACACTCGGTCACTGCAGTGGACACTTCATAAAATGCAGCACACTGTGTTATGGATTAAGATGTACCGAAGGTGAAAACTGCGGCAGTTCTGCACGCAGAAGCAGCATCTGACCTATAACACCTTATAGTACTTTGCTTTGCTTGCATTAGTGTGATTGAGTTGTTGGTTTTTAATGAGGCAATAGACTGTTGTTCTTTTCATGAAAAGTTCTATTGTCCCAGATGATTGAAAAATACAATAATTTTTCCACTTTTTAGTACAAATCCCACTTTGTTCCATTTCCTTCTTTGGAAGAATTTTAAACAATGAAGAACATTGTCACAAACCATTTAATTAAATCCACAAGTCACTTCAATACTGAACCCCTTATCAGCTGTTACTGTAGGTTGGTCTATTACAACTATCAAATTGTCACAACAAAACAGAAAGTGAAGTGATGAAGATAGTTTTCTATATTGTGTTTATTATAGAAGTGTTACACAAAGCGTATGTGGCATCTAAAATGTGGTCTTTTTTTAATGTAATTCCTGACATTTAAGAAGAGGGGGAGGTGTTTAACCTATAAACCCTCCCTAAATACAGCTCTCAGGGAGTTTTTTTATTCCATTGGTCATTTACCCTGAGAAATAAGTCCAATTAGCCTTTAAATTGGAAGTCATGGGGGTCAGAGAAATTCAAATTGAAGTTTGGCTGCAAAATGTGTACCCCATCACTTTATTGATGGCTCAGTAGCATGTGAAGTTACAATTTTCTTCATTTTTTATTGGGACTGGCTGCTCCTCTGCTATGTGTAGATACTGAATGATCCTTAAGGTTTTGTTTTAATGCCACTGGAGTGCTATTTGGCCAGGCGTTGACTCCTGGTTGTTTGCAGGACAAGGGTTATTCCTTATCAGGAGGGGCTAAGGGAATGTACCCACTTGTGTCATCATGTCAGGAGAATGGAGATCGCCCCATCAGGAGGGAGAACCCACACAAGTACCTGCTGTACAAGCCGACTTTCAGTCAAATTATGGTGTTCTTAGCATCAGGTGAGTGATCCTCTTTCCAGCAAGATGGAACCCTTCCTCTTGTCTATACCTCGCTTTTCACCATGCTTGTGTTCCCCAAACATAATATCTTGTCTTTCTTTCCATATCTGACATTGTGCTAACCCTTTTTATTTTATATCTTTATCTGACTTTCACAATTTATCTCATGAAAGTACATATTCTGTCCCTTTTACTGCTGTTGAACATAGTCAGGCTTACAAATGTCACATATCAAGTCCTTGGTTTTATGACAACAGAAATATAATGTGTAAAGTGTAAAAACTCAAATTTTTATTATTGAGGTGATCATGTAGGAAATCCTTAACATTTGTTGTGTGATCAGCCAAGGCTACACTACTTTTGCCTTGCTTTCTGTACTAGTTCACCATTCCTGCATCTTTTTAGTCTTATTCCTCATTCTCTCTGTGGTCTAGTGAGGATCTCTTCTCAGCAGTCAGCAGAGTGCTTAAATTCTTGTTTGTGTGTCCATGTTTCAGCTCTTTTATTAAACCGCATTTGAGTTAAATAAATATACATCGTGGCGCAGAGACTTGCTCAGGTGAATGTTCAATACTTTGTTCACAACAGCCACAACTAGACTCTTTCCTGAGCCAGATCAAGTGTTATTCAAACTATGTGCTCCTGCAGAAATTGGCCATTAATCGTTTTGAAATATCTTTACTTCAGTATTATTTATTCCACATGAACCAAATGTCACAGTTGATGAGATCCTTGTGTCAGCTACATAATGGGAAATATGAATAATTATTATTTAACACAATATTCACTTCCCATTCTGTATTTGTGCTTTTCTCCCTTGTAACATAGCTCCCCTTTTTTGTTTTTGCATTGTTGCAGGGTTTAAGGAACTGCCTCCCAGTGGAGCATTAATGATGTACATTTCTGCAGATGGATGTTTCTCAACCATGAAACATCCTGAATACAGTAAGAAAATCAGTAGTCTTATTTATTTTTTGTTATAAATATATTTTCTTTAATTAACGACAGTTTGAATGTAATTATTGTGTGTTGAATAGTGGGCTATGACCTGGGTGGTGTTTTGACGAGCAGTAAAAAGGAATTGGACCATCCAAACAAGAAGGCAATCCAGCTGAAGGAAATGCATTGGTAAGCAGAAAACAGTGATCAGTTCTTGTGATGGTAACTGACAGTATAAAATTTCAGTGATGTGCATAGTTTTGTTTCTTGTTGCAGTCTGTATCCTGGAGATCTGTACCCTTTCACCCGGAAGCCATTTTTCATTATAGTGGATTCGGACAATAGTTTTGTATTTCAGCATGTCCCACGCTATTTTGGACAGCCCTTGGTGATTCTCATGTCTCCTCAAGATATTCCTCCAGCCTTCCAAGGTAGACTCAACACTCTTGGTGCATATGTCATGATGAGGATTATGCAATTCTGTGATCTATTTATGTGCATAATCTACTCTTATATAGATTCATTAAAAGTGAACTGTTATCATCACCATGTTCATAATTGCTGACATAAAAATGTTTCATATGGATTTTGTAGGTATATGTATGATTTATCTGCATACAAAATTTCATTTGCTTATGTTGCATAGAAATTGCATCAGCCAATGTTGCCAATTTCTCAAAGGACAAATGACCACACAGATATGATACAAAGCAGTCTTTCCTTATAAAATAAGGAGAGTAAATTAATAATTCCCACTGCAACAAAAGCACAGAACGATTTATCAGTAGTAATTCCTCGTTACAGATAGATTTGACCTTGGTGTTATGCAGCATCACTGTCTGTTTCAGACCAGCAGCATAATGGCAGTCTGTTCACACTGTTCCTACACAGTCCACTCACAGCATTCTGCTTCATCTGCAATATCCTTAATATCCCCATTCATTTGTGGGAGCGATGTCAGTCCTTTATCGACAAATTTGTTACTGAGGCCAGCAGACTGTTCACGCGGTGCAGGATAGGTGAGTGCAATGTTTTTGCAGCATACCAGATATGAAACATGCCATTATCAGGGCTTAAAGAACACGGTACCACCTCACCTGAGGCGAGTTGGTTTTATGAGCTAATCAGCAGAAAATCACAATAGTAATTGAAATTAACAGACTGTCTAAGAAAAACAAACAACATCCGATAACAAAAGGAAGAATTATGTTTCAATAAATATATAATTTTGTTTTATAGTTTTGCAGTCCTTCTCCTAAAGTGACACTTCCAAAATATTTCAAGTTCTTCCTATTTCTGGTACTAGAAGTTATTGTCATAAATTAGTACAGCTGATTTAAAATAACTTTGCACTGTTCTTTACAGTCACAAATAATGTTTTATGTTTCCGAAGGCTTTGGGATAGTAATAAAGTTTTGTTTTTGACAAATAGGACTTGGCATAATTTTTCAAGCCCTGACCATTATAACAAAATGTGCTGTATTTCCAAATTGAATTCCAAATGCCAATTACTCAGCATAAGAAACATGAAAATATGTGGGTCACAGTTTGAGTGGAAGGAATGTCTGTGCAGTGTAATTTACTGGGAAGTTGTGTATTTCTATTTCTTCACATGATAGCAAATCTAGAACTGCAGGCTGGCAATAACATTAAAGAAGCATCTTTCATTGGCCATGTGTATAACTAGAAGTCTGTATGCACCTCTTCAGCTGCATTAACCTCTTACATGTTGCAATGCTGGTGCCATAAGAACAATAGTACTTTCTAAATGTCAGAAAGTTAATACATTCAGTAAATATACTGGAAGCAATTAATAAAATGAACTTACTTTGTTGATTGATGTTGCAGATGCATCTTATCTTCAGTTTTTTGGAGACGACTTTCTAAGGCTTCTGCTCTTGCGATATGTGTTTTGTGATGTGGTCCTCCACCTCCATCGATCCTTCAAGGTAAGTCACATTCTGTCATCTGTGAACAACATTGTACAAATTTTCTTTCAGTGTAATAATAAACTGGTAGCATTTCTTAACATTTATGAGAAAGGTACATGTTTGCATATATCCATGAAGTGATTTTGCCTCAAAGTAGGGTTAGCAAATACTGAATTCTTGTGGCTGGGGATAGGTCACACATAAATATTTGCTACTCCATTAGTCTTTGCAGTTCCATAATCCTGTCCAGAAAGACTGAAATCATGAAATATTTCTTATGTAATGTTTATATTTGGATATTTGTTTCTGCAAACCAGGAAAGCAATTTTTTGCTGTTACAGGGTCGCCATTTCCGCCCACGATGCCAACCCCCTCTTCCTGATGGGGACCTGCTGGACCACCCAGCCTTGCAACATTTGGTGTTAGACTTAGCATCACACCTTGATGTGCGTGATCACTTCATGGATACCAATGAGATGGACTGATCGCCGGCTGCTGGCAGTCGTTCAGCTGCTACCATTTGGAACAGTATCATGTCTCTCACTGAGCCGAGCTCTGTTGATAGCCATGTAAGTGATGATAATATTATTTTCTCTAATGTCACATTATCAGGGAGTTATGAATTACCTATAGGGGTGATAGTTTTCCTTTCACAATACCGTGGCACTTTCAAAATACAAACGAAGACAAGTTCTGGAGAATTTGAATCTCATGACACTAGGAATATCCATCACAGAAGTGCTTTGAATACAGCAACCTCAAGTCTCGACAGTTCTGAATCACATGGTACAGTTGGAATCACTGAGATGCCATCCAGCTGTTTTGGATACTGTAATTTTTTCACGTTGAGGACCAGCCGACTGGCTTGTACCATTCTTGTGCCGATACTTCTTGGAGTAGCTCAACTTCTTCTGAATGAAGATGACCACCACCACCAAGAAGTGTGTCAATTCCTAGTCAGTTAACATAACCAGAGCATGCAGACACAGAAGATGCTGGAGTTCTTCTCAGCATATGTTCACTCAATTCATGAGCATAAGTTACTTTGTCCATACTATTCAGAATCATATACTAATCAGTGTTAAACAATTGTAACTTGTTACTGGTCCTGCAGAACAACCTAGATGGTTCATTTCTTGTTTCTAATAATAGCATTGGAGCAAAAGGAGGATATTTTGATCCATCAGGGGTGATCAACAAAAAATATTCTTTACAGAATATTAGAAGTATATATGTAAGAAAAAGATTTGATATCAGAAGGTACATAAAACAGTTGCCTGAATTGAACCAGTTTATAGCTTTAAAATCATTACAATATAAATTAAGATTAATTTTAATGGAGAAATGTGTACGATGGCATTTGCTTTACATGCTGCATGGGGAAGGCTTAGGCGCAACGTGACCAGTGTTGTTAAGTAGAAGTTCTGCTAGATGCTTCGCATAGGTGACAGCTTGCAACATAATTGTTAAGTTATCGATTCCAAAAACCACTGCCAACTCAAGAGAGGTGGGATCGTTCACAGGCTGTGAGGCAAAGGGGCCCATAAAATACGTATTGCCAACACAAACACCAGCTTGGATTTGGTAAGATGCAGGAAGACAGAATACCTGTCATAGCAGTTCCATCTAGGGGCAAAATAAAAAGAAACAGTATTCTTGATTTTTGTGGGAACAAATCTGTGACCCTGTGTGTGATTTTTTGTGATATTCATCTTCCATGTTGGACTATTTAATTTCATTGGTCAGCCACTATGAGCAGTTTAGACCATGTTGTCTCTGTTATTGCACTTCAGGGAAAAGAGAACAAACCATCAATACATGTACATAACATTAGGTGAATCTGTATATAGAGTCTCAACTTCATATGGCAGTATGAATCTTTGCTTTATAAAATGTTACAAGATGAATGATTAACATTTTCACAATCATATCAAATCTACACTATATACTATTACATGTATGAACCACAGTCACCATTACCATGTAATGTTACGTTCCAGTACCTTAGTTTCACCTTGTGATATGAAACTGTGTTAGCACTTGACAGCAGCACCAATATATGTGCTGATTTATTTTTATGCTTGTCTATTTCATATTTAATTTTTATAAAAACCATAACTTTAGTGCTGTATTACTGATCAGTATTATTCTAGTCATCACATAAATGATACAGTAATCTCTTTAGTAAACTAGTCACATTATGTTTACACCATTCTTAGGGTGGTATGAGAAGAAACAAGGCATGTTTCTGTCTCGTCACTAAATGAAAGAATACTTTATATTTACCTTATTTTTTCATAATTATTGTAAGTTTAATAATGTATTGGAGAGATCCTAGTTAATTCTCATTTTAATATTCCTTGAAAGTAATTTAAATGTAGTGTCGGAAATGGTTAGAAACAGAAACATGACCTAAGGTACCTATTATGAGGTTTAAGATGGAAACACTGTAAACATTTAACAACACTGTACTATCAACCAAATGATCAGTGTGTTGTTTTATCAAATCACAGCCAAGAACAATGCATGTCCATATTTGAGTGTTCTGTTGATGGCTGTAAATAATTTCTTCTTGTTCATTTTATACTTCAGAATAGGAGTTTAAACTTTACAGTAACACATAACATTATTTTTTATTTAATGAATGCAAGAACTGGTTATATTTTATAATTTTGTTATTGTTAGTGAAGTAATTAGATTTGTTATTTTATGTCTTTCCAATCACAGAATTGCTTTGTTTGCAACAAAAAATGTACAAAATATTGACTATTGTGCAGAAAGCGTAGCTTATTACTCACAAAAGTTAAAAGAGTATGAGATATTAAATTAATATCACAATACAATAAACTATACTGTGACGTTATTGTTACCACTGCCTGCCTGTATTTTTGTGTTATTAGAGTTTTTCTTACTACAGTTCCCCTGCTGTTGTTTTCCATGTTTCTCCTCGGTCCCTCCTGGCAGAATGGCAAACACTGATAGCAGAACCCTAATGTTTCAACACCTCAAATACCAAACTATGCCATTGCATCAACATCCCATCTCCCAAAGATCCCTCTTATTGTCATCTCCTTGATCTTCCAAGTGGACTTTTTTCAAGAGGTTTCCCCCACAAAAATTCTGTTTGCATTCTTTGCCTCCCCTGTCCTACATACATGTCTAGGCCTTACAGCCTTGTAGATGTCATCACGCTAACGGTACAAGATGGCCTGTGTAAATCACAAAGTTTCTTGGTTTTCAAACACAGTCTTCCCTCAAACTAAGGTATTATGTTTCATACACATACAAAACAGCTGCTAAACTTATTTTTTGGTATTTTGGAAAGTATAAAGGATGGTAGTTATTTATTTACCTGTTTCATCATGAAACACATTTCTGTTTGTAAGTGACGTTCCCAGATACTTAAAATTCTTTATTACATACCTTTAGTTATATTGCGAATTTGTTAATTTTGTTTCATGTCATATTCATGTTTTTACTTGTACTTATATTTACCATAAGATAAATTTCTATAGTAGCATGCAGGAACATTTTTATATTATTCTTTGTGGTGCTTATAATTTCTTACAAAAAATTATCAACATAACTTACTGGACCATGACTCATTCAAACACACACACACACACAGATGAGTTTTTATTCCATACATGCAAAACACTTTGTACTCAAGCAAGACCCCTTTAATGCAATTATGAGAGTGGTTTTTAAATTGAATCATGTTCCTTGTCATCATAAAAGTACTTTTTGTTTTGTTACACATATTGAGGACATTAGTATTATGCATTTGTGTGTGAATAGCATTTTCATTCAGGGTCTCTGGTATACATGGAAATCATGTTCTGTCCCATTGTTTTGACTTACTGACAATCTTAATATTAGAAAGAATAAACTGAAAGTTACCCCATTAGTGTGCCACATTTCATTGGGTTTATTTTGTTCCAATCAAATATCAGACAATCCACAGTTTTGAAACTTAAAATAAATTGTATCTATACCACATATGTGTGCTTCAAGGTTTAATCTAATCCACTGATTTAAATTTAGGATAGTAATATTTTACTACATGAACAAATATTTCTCAATACCTCTTTATTTTCTACACCGGGAAGCGATCTGTTACGATACCATTTGCCCAACTTTGTCAACCTGTTTGAATCTATTTTAAATTAATTGGATCATCCAATATGCAGATTCCATTTCTCTGGAATGGTAATGGTGACAGGTGAAAGTGATGGCTGATGAAGCAGATTCTTAATTTTTATATACTGCCTTTATTAATTATTTTAGGAAATGGAAAATCAGTTAAAGTGTCAGTCTCTATGCTTTGTCTTTTGTAACATAAGCCGTGCATGTTAAGTTTAGTGCAAATATTTAGCTATAAAAGGGATGAAGAGAGCAGTTCAGGATATTACTTAACAAGGAACTATGTGAACTCTGGGGGGTTATGATTAGATGGACATATAGCTAGGACGGAGGAGGCAAGAAATACATGCAGAATTTTCATGAGCTAACATGATGAAGACAACCAAGAAGGAAATGGGGGATAACATTAAGATTAAGATTGGAGAAGGTGGTTGGAATTGGTGCAGAATTAGGTCTGATAGCAAGCTTTGGTATTAACAATGTTGAATCTTAGTAACTTTATTTGTGACATGCTGTTGTGTTCAGCATAACTAGATATTCTGTTATTAATCAAACGCAACTCTTTATTCTGAAAGACAATATGATATCCCACTGTCCTGGGTTACATGCCTTGGCATTTGTCAAGCTGCCATTAGGCCCTTGTTTTTACATGAAATGTGCTTACTGTGGCATATATCCACATGCAGAGAGATTTTTACTTCTCAGTTTATTAATTTTTTTATCTGGAAGCCAAAATTGGCTTGTCTATTGTTTGTTAAATAATATACAGGGCTTATTTCTCTTTAACTTTCATCAATTTGGAAGAATACAGAATACTTTGTTATTTATAGAACTTCAAAACATTTGCAGGATTTGTTCATATCCAATCAAATATTCTGTTACTGAACCATCACCACTAACACATAACCCCTTATCTGTACAGAGGTCTCCCAGTCTTTTTTCATAAGGTTACACAACCAAAATGCATGAATTTCATATTTCCTGCTTGCTTCTCCTATTTGAAGCTTCTTTATTAAATTACTGTAATAATTTTGGGGCAAATAATAGAAATTGTGGCATTCCCACATTATGTCAAAGCAAAATTTAGTGCATAATGTACTCCAATCTCTGCTCTTATATCTTTGTTTCTGGAGCAAGACAACAGCACGTTGTTCCAAAATGCAGCCGTATGCTGCTGACTGGAATCGTGCCAGAAAACTGTAGTGCTCCCAACCTATATCTGAAATGAGGTCATTATTTTGGCAACTCTTCAGGGTACATTCTGGTTCCAAAAACGTGGTACATCAGTGGTTTAAACTGAATGTCAGCAATATAACTTCATTGGCTCGCAATGTGCTTTTGGTACTGAATATCTTGCACTGTCTGAAATGGAACTAGTAACTTCTCCAGTCATCTATTGATCAGTGTTTCAATTTCATAGTAGTTGTAGGTAGAGGTGGTAGTTGGTGTGGGTGAGTGATGTATCGCTAGGACACCAGGTGATTCCTGAAATAATCTGCTGTTTTTTTCTTGGACACAACTTCTACCAACAGTATCATTAGGAAATGACGGTGTTCTTAGTAGTGAGACGGTGACACTGGCTGCACGGATCATGGAGGATAAAATCCCTCCAGGTGAGCATGACGATTGGTGACTGAACCTGTCTGATCCTAGTTGGGGCTCATTGCTAAGCTGTTTATTTTTATTCAGGTACAAGGGCTGATATTTTGCTTCATAGCCAAGTCTCACATTCACCAACCAGACACTTAAATGTTATTAATGATGATAGGTCATTAGCCCTTTAGCACAAACAATGACTAAAATGTTTTCTAATGAAGATTTCTGTCTTCTGGGTTGTTGCGCTGTGTAGTCTGGTCGATGTTAACCAACGTTTCAGAGGTTATACTGCCTCCGTCATCAGGGCGATGAATGTTGGTAAACATCGACCAGACTACACGGCGCAACAACCCAGAAGACAGAAATCTTCATACTCACCGCTGTGAGAACCTCAAATCTTAGATGTTTTCTGATGTTTATACCAGTAATAGGTGTTTTATATAATTGGACAGTAAGGAGTGAAGAATCTAACAATTTACTCTGATTTTACAGTATGATTTGGTGAACATTACAGCTTTAAGTATGACATTTAGTGTTTACATGGCACTGATTGTGGTTAGTCATTTGTTACGATTTCTTGTCTTAAAACACCTGGCAACATGCCACTAATTTCTCACCTCCCCCACATAGAAATGTTGCTTGATTATCTTTTTGCTTCATTGTATTCCCTCTTTCCTTATTTAGAATTTATCTAAGGAAATGCAACCAAAAGACTTCTCTGGGCTTAGTTCACACTGTTCTAGTAGACACTGATTCAGAAATGCTGTATACTTGTTCTTCCCTCTGAGTACATTAACAGATGGCTGAATATTACTAACTAGTTGTTTTATTTGGGATAAGTGCCAAAAGAATTTTTTTTAAAACCTACTGCTAATTAGTATTAGCCTCAACTAGCAGGTTACTACTCCCTTCGTGCAAACACAAGTTCTGCGAAGAACAAAGTGTTTACTTTATTAAATTATCTCACTGATTAATATACTTGGCCAAATGGAATTTAAAGATTGCATAACAAAGGAATTGAGAATTTATACAAATTTACGGTTTCAGTATCTGAAATTTGGTTAATATAATTATCAAACGTTTGTGGCATTATATTTTAATACTTCGGCATACACACAATTTGTTTTGGATGATATTCGCTATCCCCCTTACAGTCCTCATTTATAACTCTTTGATTTTGTCTAATTGTGACACTGAAATATTGCTCAGGATACGAGAGATGCAGGTCAAAACACAAGGTGAAAAATACAGTTTGAAAGTGGTGTCACATTTCTTAAAAACTTAAATACATAAACTTTCGCAACACTGAAACAAGTGCCTTCTGAAGGAAGGACAGTACTCACAAAGTGGCCCTGATGTTATTTTTCAGTGTCAACTGTAAGCTTAAAAACTGAACACTAACAGAAAATATATGGCCATGGACGTGGCAATTTCCAGTATTTTTTAAATACCTTATGTTGCATGTTAAGGTCCATATTTCTCTGACACTTTGTTTGACTCTGAATGGGTTTCCTTTTTATTTTAGTTGTTAGAAAGTCATAACCTTATAAGTTATTTGCTAGGCAAGGGAAAAAGAAAGTATTGCTGTTATTCAATTATAAATTTGCTACAGTATTATCGCGCGTGCGTGTGTATATATATATATAGCAATAGTTGTAACCAATAAAAATTGTTTGCTGACCACTTAAATGCACAGACATTTATAAAATAAATGAAATCATAAGAAACAACTACAAAGAAACGGAAAAAGTGATTTCACAAACTGAATGGAATATCTCTTATTACCATACTTACGCCGAACTCGCCCAAACAGAACAACCAAGTAGAGATAAATAGTAAATTATAAATGTCCAGTTTGCCAGGAACAGACTGTTGCACCCATTCTTGCTTACTGAAACCCACCGGACAGGCTAGACAAACCATTCCTGCGACACAGGTAATCTGACTAACCACCACAATGAAAATATCGCTTCACACATTTGATTATTTGCTTATGACGCAGTGTCGACCACATGGGAGGAATCGATCGTCCAAAACTGCCAAAATCACGAAATATCTGGATATAATCGATTCTCGAACAGTATTCGAACCAAGTACCTCTAGGTTGCGAACCATTATGACCCGTTCTGTTGGTATGACGTTTGGA